CTAACCATGTGGATGCTAGGCTAGTTCGAGCTAGCATGCACCTAGCATGGCTAGGCGCAAGCCTAAGCACACTAGGTGTGCTAGGCGCACCATCGCAGCTCTAGCATCATGCCTAGGCGCTATCGCAGCCCTAGCATGATGCCTAGGCACCATCGCTGCCCATCGCAAGCACTAGGCGCATTAGAAGCACCTGGCAGCCTATCGCAAGCACTGGGCGCACCAGGAGCACCTGGCAGCCCATCACAAGCACCAGGCGCACCATCGCTGGCACTAGGTGCTGGCGTGCGTGCGTGCCTAGCATGGCAGCACCATCGCTAGCACCAAGTACTAGCATGGGTGCTTGCCTAGCATCGGAGCAGCATGCGTGCTGGCTTGCGTGCTAGCCTTCGCATGGCAGCACCAAGCAGCACACCATGTGTGTGCGAGGGCCTGGCCGCCAGCACATTGCTAGGCCACGCACAGCAGCCCAGCATCGCTACGCACCCAGCCTGCTAGGGGATGCGTGGGTGCGCGTAGTGTGCGAGTGTGTGTGTGCGAGGCAGTGTGTGGGAGTGCTAGGGCCAGCGCCAGCATAACGTGCTAGCAGTGCCTAACACCAGCACGCACCAGCGCCTAGCACCAGCACGCACCAGCGCCAAGCATCACCCAGCACCAAGCAAGCAATGCCTGGCTGGGGATGCAAGGCTGCTAGCTGGCACGCTAGCTGGCAGCCAGCCAGCCCTCCTCATGCCGGTTTTGTGCTTTCTTGTTGGGACCAAATCAAGGGCCTTGGGGAGCAAGGCAAATGGTCCCCCCCCCCCACCTAGCCTTGGCCATCACTCAAGCATGTGAATGTGCCACTTGTCGCAATGTGATTAAGTTGATTATTTATTTAATTTGAAATTAAATAAATTGTTGATTTTACCAACTCTCCCACATTGGTGGGAGATTGAAAACCAAGGACCCATTTCCCTATAAATACCCTTCAAGGGTGTTGGGAAATGGACAACCTTGAGTGGAATTAAAAAGGCAACTCTTGCAATTAGAGTAAACTTTTGATTCGTAAAACTCATAGTTTTGTTTGTCTAGGTCTTGACTAACCTTCAAGACTTGGGACGCTCGGGTCGGGTCGAGGGTACGATCCGTCGGAGATCTCGTAGTTTCGGGATTTTGAAGTAAGAGCTCTTCGGGAGAGAAGCACGCAACAAAGGTATAATTCTTGTTCTTAGTCTTGCTTGATTAAGTTTATTATGCTTGTTAATTGCTTTAATTAAGGGGCGGGTCTTGGGGGGTTTCCTTCCGCGTAGTGTCGGGTCACTACGAAACCCTACAAGTATGGGTCAACATATGCCTCTGTGTCACCCCTCATATCCAATATGCATACATAAGCATGAACACAAGGAATGCCAATGAGTTCCCAATGGTAACATGTGCAAGTCTCCTTATCCAAATCAACCAACACTTGGTCATCCTACAGCTGCACCTCAAATGTATTCCCTCTTGATGGTTGCACCACACTGGACCTAGCCACAAAGTCTATCCTTCCTAGAACATTCCTCACAGAGACACTAAGTTTCTTGTAATTGTTTTTTAATCCTCCCACTTTTCATTATTCCTATTCATTATATACCTCCTCATCCATTCCATTTGGGTGAGGATAGGTTTATCTCTGGCAGGCCTAATTACTGCATTGAAAGTCTCACAAATGTTGTTCAACAACATGTTGGACTTGCAGTTTGGTGTAAATCCATGTCTACACCAATGAATGGTTGGAATGTTGACTAAATACTCATATGCCTCTTCATCAAGGAATTTGATAGACTCCATGGCCATTTCATACTCAAACTGACAATATGCAATGACATACCAGTTCAGGACAACATGTATGAAAACTAGACATATATAACAGATCAAGACGATTAAGCATATAAAAGCATACCAATATTCAGGACAATTAAACATATAAAAGCATAATTTAGCTCTTTGAAGCAAACCAACTTACATAAGTGGTAGCCCTGGCTGCACTCCAAAATAGCTCCTTGAAGGTTGATCCAGCAAATTTGAGCTTGAAGTTAGCCCAAATATGCCTAACACAAAACCTTTGTTTTGCTTTGGGAACAACATCAACCATTTCTATAATTAAACCCTACCAAATGCAGACAGAAGTAAAACTCATAAGCCAATCACATACATACACATGAAAACTTAAAAATTGAACCTAAATACTTAAGAGGGAAACAGAAGCATACCTTCGGCCTGTCAGACATGATGGTTAGCCCAGCTCCTTAATCATGTTTAAGCATTTCCATAAGTGATTACAAGAACCAACCCCAAGTTTCTTGGTTTTCTATCTCCATTGTAGCCCAAGCTAGAGGAAATAAGTTGTTATTCCCATCCTTAGCCACTGCCACCAGAATTTGCCCAAGATAGGCACCTTTGAGGTGACAACCATCCAACCCTATTAGTGGCCTACAACCTTTTGAAAAACCAACTCTGAGTGGCCTTAAACAAATGAACATCCTCATGAACAAGGGTGGCTCTTGCCTATCAATACCATCAACAACAACATTGCACCAAGAAACCAGGGTTATACTTCATCACAACTTTCCCATAATCCCACACCCTTGCATACTACTCCCTAGCTGAACCAAATATGGTCATTTTTCCCCTACACCTAGCTACCCATGCCTTAAAATAAGTCACTTCAATTCCTAAATCATTCAAAATCCTAGCCCTAATCTCCTTAATTCTCCAACCAAGGTTACTCCTAAACTCTTCTAGCTAGATACCTCTCTGCTATATATTCAGCAGTAATCATCTTGTTCTTCTTCACTCTGAAGCAAGTATGTTTTAATTTCAAGCTTTTAATTTGCCAAGTTTACTGCTTAACAAGTTTTAATGCAAACACCTTGAAATGACACTTTACTCCCCCCCACACATATACAAGCAGGCATTCTACAGGTGTAACTATTGAACTCACAGTCACATCTATGCCTACACTGAATTGTAATCCTTGTAATGTCATTATGCAAGTAGTAGAACTCATACCTTTTTTGAATAACTTGAAGTCTTAAGGCCCTCCTTAAGACTGAAGCATTACTAAATTTCTGACTTAACTTCAACTAGATTGGGTTGTCAAAGTCCACAGCAGCATTAAACCATGGAGCAAAGTCCTCTTCCTAATCAGATCCACACAAACTCCTTGAATCATCTGAATCACCATCAGTCTATAGCTCCACCTTCAGTTTTCCAACATCCAAGTCATCCCTCAACTCTGACCTCTTATCTTTAACAACCCCCTCATCTATTTCACTCCCCAAACATTTTCTAAGGCTTTTGTTCACCTTGTCCAAGATCTCCTCTGACCCTTCAATATACCATTCCTCATCCCCTTCATCATATTCTTCTTCACCAGGTTCCCAATCATGGTCCTCATCACTCAAATCTGAACTTGAATACGCAGATCCTTCACCTCCATCATCCTCCTCATCATCAAACCTCAATACTTTAGCCTTTGTTGAGGCTTTCCCTTTCAACTTAGCCTTTTCATTTGCGAAACTAGAAGCTCCTAGTTCTGCAACCTTCTCTTTCCCTTTCTTTGTGACAAATATCTCCCTAGGTGGACTCTCCTCCCTTTGTTCAATTTCTGTCTTCTTAAACCTATGGCTCCTCTTAACACTCATAGTAGTTGAACTTCCTACCTTCTTGCCCTTTTTATATGTTTTTGGTGGATTGGGTTGGGCCTCCTTTATGGGCTTATTAGGAGCTTGTGCTGTTACAAAAACTTCAACATACCCCTCTGCATTTACTGTCTCTAAAGGCCATTAACCTCTTCACTGTTAACTAGTTCCCTTTTCCTAGTGTTAAAGGTTTTCCCCTTTCTGCCTATACCTACAGTTGTAATGCATAGGCACAACCATATTACCATTAACAAATCCATGAATTGCTGCTGTTCTAGTCAAATGCACATCTAACTTAGAAACCTGAACTTTCCTGTACCGATAACACCAACCACCACACCAACACAGCAGCTGCCTGTCTTTGCTAACTCTGTTAGGAACAAAAGCACCTCCCACTCTAAGGCAGATGTCAACCATACCATCATTGTCACCCATTATCTACCCACCAGTGAAAGAGATATAATACATATTAAAAGCCATTTAATATTTCAACAATGTATCAATACATGCACATTATGAATAAACAAATCCATCCCAATTTTCAAACTTACACTACAAAGCACCAATTCCAACATTTATGCATAAACAATTGAAACCCAATTCAGGTACTCAGTAACATAAATTAATAAACAAATCACACAAATACAGTTAATAGTAGCTTAATTAACAATAAACCACTTTAATTAATCTCTAATTTCAGTTAAGGACTCCAATTAACCTAAGTCGCATAGTCAATTGCTGAAAAATTGATTATTTTAGGGTTTCCTACTCTGTTGCCAAAACTGACCCTAATTTAGCCAAAAATTGCTATTTTAACACCAGTAATAGACGAAATTGCTATCAAAAGATTAAAAAAAAAATACCTTCTTTAGTGTCAGATTTCCAGCAACTTTCGCCCTTTTCTAGTTGATGAAGATGGGTGAAAATGTGAAAATTCAATGTGAAAATGTAAAATATGAAAATTCAATGTGAAAATCTTCAAGATTCAGAAAGAATTCAATGAAGATGGTTGGTGAGAATTCAATGAAGGAAGAAGGTACGTGTTTTGCTGGGTGAAAATTGGAGGTAAAACCAAATCCTAGGACCCACGTCAATTTTTCGTCACAGAAAACGTTAACTGGTGGTAACTTCAAATATTTAATTTTTTATGTGGTATCAAAATAATTTATTTTTTTTGGTGTTAAAAACCATTTTCAGCCTTTTGTCTGGTGTTAAAATCCAAAATATCCGAAAATAAATCTAGACCAAGATTGTTGATGCTTGATACACATCAACTAGACACACTTTGAGGGAGAGGATCCCTTCCCTTTTTTCTCACTTTCGTAGTGTCTAACCTTTAAATATTTGACTAAAATAACTGTAAGGAGTTGAGGTATGGTCAAGTCCTTCTCCTTACAATTAGAAAAAATGTACGAATATACTAATAAAAGTAGAGGTGATCAACTATGGCTCTACCCGCTAACCCGACATGATCCGATTTGAAAATAGGGCGGTTTTAAACACATCCGTAGTTAAATATCCGAACACGACATAATAAAAAAAAAAAAAAAAGCCCGAAAAGCCCATTTTAAGCTGACAAACCCACAACTTTTTTAAAGGACATGAGATATGGTATTATGGCCCAATCCTGCCCGATTTTTTATCACCTCTAAATAAAATTCGCATTCGTTAAACTTACACACACGCCACCGCACCTCATTGTAAGTCGTTCGTTACACACGTATTCAACAATACTCGAAATTGACCTAGTTTAAGCCCAAACCCAAATCCAAATCATACTTCGGCCCGATTCAACTCTTACATCATCACACCTGGGCCCGACTCACTCAAAAACATACCAATATTATATACCTGACAAATTTCTGGTGTTGTTTTCAGGAGAGAGAGAGAGTGTGTGTGAGTTTTTCAGGAGTGAAAGCGAGAGTTTCTTCTTTTTTTTTTTTTTTTTTTTTTTTGTTTTTTGTTTTAGGGTTCCTCCTTTTACAAGTTCTCGGATCTGATCAACAATGGCGGATTCCGATGTAGGTAAATTGTTTGTCGGCGGAATTTCCAGGGATACTTCCGACGCTAATTTAAGGGATTACTTTGCTAAATACGGCGAAGTTTCTTCCTCCATTGTTGTTAAAGATCGTCTCACTAATACACCTCGAGGTTTTGGGTTTGTCACTTTCGTTGTTCCTTCTTCCGTTGACGACGCTCTTCGTGTTCAACACGTAATTTCGGGTAGACCGGTCAGTTTTTCTAAATCTTTGATGGTAATTTTGGAGTTTTTTTTTTTTTCGAATGTCGGTGGTTCCTTTTGTCGATTGCATGAACCCTAATTAATTTTTGAATTTGATTTTTGGTTTTGTTTTTGTCAATGTTTATACTATATCCAATTTACTGGGATATACTTTTGGAACGTATGTTATTTTTGCAGATTTAAATAATTGGATTTGATTTTGATAATGTGCGTTTATTTGGATTGACTGGTGATGATTTTGACAATGTGCGTTTATCTGGATTTTGGGATTGTTTTGTTTTTAATTTGAGCCCTAGATTTTAATAATTGAGTTTAATTTTTGATTTTTTTTTTTCAGTTTTTTTTTTTTATAAATAATTTGTTTATATTTTTATAGAAAAAAAAAATTAGTATCATATTTAAAAAAAAAAAAAAAAATTACATCTAAAATTAGTCTAAATATAGAAGATTGGATTTGATAAATTGTCAATTTTTGGCTCAATTTTGGCGATGAGTTGTGTTTTGCTGGAATGTTGATATAGGTAGAAGTGAAAAAAGCTATACCAAGACATGAACAACAATCAAATACTCAACAATCGCAACAACAGCAATCGCCTCATCGGCAGCAACTGCCGGGGCAAGGTTACTCTCATACAATTAAAGGATCTGTTTGGAATTACAGTAATGGTAATTATGGTGCTAGCAACAGTGATCATACCCATAAAACTAAGAAAATATTTGTAGGAGGTTTGTCTGCTGATCTAACTGAGGAGGAATTTAAGAAGTACTTTGAGAAGTTTGGTAGGATTACAGACGTAGTTGTGATGTATGATAACTCCAATAACAGGCCTAGAGGATTTGGGTTTATCACTTTTGAATCTGAAGAGGTGGTTGAACAACTTATGCAAAAGAGTCACCATGAGTTGAATGGAAAGCGTGTGGAGGTTAAGAGGGCTGTTCCTAGGGAGGCAACCAAGAGTTCTGGCAATGGAAATAATAGATTTGGTGGTGGGAGGTACTCCCCTGCTGCTGCTGGTCACTTGGATGATAACAATTGGTCGAGAGGTCCTACTCCATATGTTAATTATCCTGGTCAATTCCCTCTTACCACCACCTATCCTGGGTATTTCTATGGCGGTGCATATCCTGTTGGTGGGTATGGTGTAGTTGGTTATGGGATGCCTATGGCTCCTAGAATGCCTTGGAATAATTATGGGGCGATGATGGGCGTTCGACCTTTGCACTATGGCACTGGCTATTATCCAACTGGAGACGGAGGGGTTGCTTTACTGGGAATGTTTAATGGTTATAACGGAGTTGTAGATACTGGAGGCAATGTAAAACTGGATGAGAATACCAATGGAAATTCTCAGGCGCCTATCAAAGACACTAGTTGTCACATAAAAGGAGCTGTGAATGTCAAGAAGAATTCAAGAATCCCTGATGTGCAAGTGCAAGCAAAGGTGGTGCCTCCTGTGGGTCAATCTAGCTGACCAAATTCCACTTGTATCCACAAATGTTCATGATTCATACATTGAAGGAGGAGTTGAGGTTGTTTTGTAGTCTCTGCACTACTCTACTTTAGTTACCTCCTTCCTTTCTCTGTCTATTCAACTGATATATATATAGATCTTTTCTCTTTCTTATTTCATTTTAATAAATTTTTAGTACAGGATTCAAATTTTGTAATATAAGTAGTTCCTAATTGCAGAAATTCAATCATATGCCGCTGCTTTATTTTTATTTTTCTGCATATCTAAAGTCAGGTTTCTATTCAGGAGTTATAAATGCTGATACATTTGCTGTATAAGTTGAGTATCTGATATTATCCTCACGAAATGGTATGTTGTTTATGCTGTTTTGCTAATGCTTTGTTAGGAAGCTTTAAACATGTGAAATTACAAGCTGCTTGTTGATTATGGAAAGCCTTACAAACTCGGTAGCTTGTTCTTATACTTACTGGTTTTATTAAGCTGACAAATACTTTGGTGCAATATTGTACAGATGTATTTAGGTATCATAATTTGAGTTGCGTTGACAAAATCTGAAAATCGACAAAATCTGAAAATCAGTATTTAGCTTGTTTGCAAAAAGGACAGTGCGGAACTCTGTAGGTGTTTATGGTATAGTTTGAAAGTTTTAATCACTGGTAATGAGAGTAGGAGTTTAGTCTGGACGATGGGGGTCATTGTGTTTCGAAAATCAACATTTATAATAAATTTTGGTGAATATTAGTGTAGATTGCTTACATTTATTTTGAGATGATATTTTATAATAAGAATCATTAAAGTTAATTTTTGCAATACATTATTCAATATTTATTTACCAATTTTTTTTATCAAGTATTAGCTTATTTAACTAGTTTAGAACTCTTGCCATGCACGGTATCCGTATGTACAAAATAAACTATACATTAATTTACCTAATTAATATAAGTAGTATAACAAATAAAATATGATAAAAAAAAATCCATAACTTTATGCTGAAGGCAAATAAAAAGTGACATGTGTCAAGTTGTTAAAAAATTTCTCGCCAAAAAAAAATCGTTCTTTTTTTATTTTATTATTGTCAAATTAATTTAGGAAATATATCTATTTTCTATAACTAATACTAAAATATAAACCGATGACATCATCCTTTTTCCCAAATTGTACACGTGTCAGTTTCTCCTTTAATTTTTTCGCGCCTAAACTTTTTTTTTCTCTTCCAATTATCATTTTTTTTATTTTTTTTTTTTGTGTTTTTGGAAAAGCAAAATATGGACTGAAAAGTACTCTACTCTTTTTTTTATTGGAAACTTAATTTTGCTAGGATATTTATTATAAAAATTTAATATTTTTTTATACTATTAACATATTTGACTATTGTGTTATACTTCATATTTCTCCAAAAACTTCTATAGTTCAAGTATCAATAATTTAAAATACCGAGCATGGCTCGGGTATTATCTAGTAATTTACTATAATATTTTCCTTCCTATTTTATCATTATATTCAAGGTATATATCATTCCATTTATTCTACTATATCTTTTATATTTAAAAAAAAATAATAATTTCAACGTAATGATATCTTTTCCTCCAAAATCACTATATTTTTGTAAATACATATAGAAAATTAAGTAGACATTATTATTAAAAAAATATTCATAATTCATTATGAATATGGACTTTAATATACTTTTTTAAGAGAATAAATTTGTAAGAAATTGTTGAACAATGTACAAATTATTCTTAATAATTATAAAAGTTGATAGAACTCTGCAATTGCGCGGGATTTAAGCTAGTTACAACGATATGCAACAAAATATCGGAGACCTAATTAGTTTAAAGATTAACACAAAATGTAATAACAAAGGTAGTTGATCACCAATCTCTTTATAATTTTATTTTATATTATTTATCTAATTTATTTCATGGAGTATTTAAGTAAGATACACTTAGAGTCCACAACTTGAAATGATGTCAGCAACGTCTAACTCAATTTCATCTGTAACTCTAGCAGATGTATTGTCAAAAGTCATCGTCAAAAATCCATTAATGGTCAATCTCCAAATTATAAGAACAAATTTAATCATCAGTTTAAGCATAAATTTAACAGCTAATTTAACAATATAGACATAGTAGTATGTTCGTTAAAAAACAAAATAATTGTGCATTACTAACTAGGTTGATCTATTAAAAATTATATCATATGACTATATTTATTAAGATAGTCGTATAATGAATTATGTGTAGTTTGGAGAATGGGAGGTTTATCATAGCATGGTTGCATTTACCAATATTATTGTGGCAGTATATCTAATGCATGGTTTGTATATGCGCTTGTACGATGCGCATCGAGCAGACGTTCTGTTAAAAAAAAATATATGCAAAAAGAATATAATATAGAAAAGTTTGAACATATAGCTATAGTAAAAAGAACATACTATTAAAATGTAATGAACATCTACCTAGAGTGAAAAGAACATATTTGCACCAAAAAAGAGTGAAAAGAACATATGTCCATGTTCTTTGATTGTCAGTGTAATGTACTTTTATTTGTGATATAATGTTCATTGCTTATTGTGAAATGTTCATTGAATTTTATCTTTAAATTATGGTGGGTATATATAAATAATGTTCATTACATAATATTATCATGTTCTTTATTAATATTTACAGATATTCTTTAGATATATATATATATATATAAATATATATATATATATATATATATATATATATATATATATATAAAGTATAAAGCTGAATGTTCTTTACAAAACAGTTGTATGTTATTTACAAAACAGCTACATGTTCTTTTCACGTTTTTTGCTGTCTGTACCAAGCATAGTACAGACGCCTGTACCTTAAAATTTTCACAATATATTAATGTTGAATATTAGTTTGATTCTTTTTTTATAATTTAGCAGTATCATTTGACCCAAGGTGTTTTATATGTGGTTTTTTTGCTGACGAGAATGTGAGCCCTATTATAAGGGAATGTCCGACTGCTAGAGATTGTATAAATGAACCTTGGATGGAAGCTCGATAATCATCACTAGTGTACTACTTGTTTTTGTCATTGGTTAATGGAAATATTAATGTTGAAATATGCCTTGAATTGGGTTTAGGAGCAGTGAGCCATAGCATGTGAGGTAGCTTAGTAGTTTCAGAAGCATTTGAAGTTGCGACGAAATTGGAGCTATAACTGAAAGGAATGGTGTCCTTCCAACAAGTGTATTATTCTGATAGAGGGTTCAGAATTAACAGGAAGCTAATTCTTCAGTGAGATCAAGTGATCGGAATGCCTGGGTGGAGGCCGCTTCCGATCAGTAATATTAGTGAACAATTAGTATTACAGCTTTATCTTGACTGAACCCTTCGGGTCGAACCCAAACGAATTGCTGATCCGAACCGACGAATCAATCCGAAGGATTTGATGAGTCATTAGAGTATTACGAACACAGACGTCGGATATCGAGCCTAGAGCGTCGAGACGAGCGTCGCAAAATCAACAAGCAACAAGTTCGAGCGAAGCCGTGGCATCACATTGGCCTACCCATGTAGTTGCTAGGCTAGCTCGAGCTAGCACGCACCTCGCATTGCTAGGCGCAAGCCTAGCATGCCATGCGTGCTATGCGCTAGTGCCCAGCTACTATCGCAAGGCTAGGCCTTTCTAGCACTGGCGCACAGCATGCCCAGCTGCTATCGCAAGGCTAGGCCTTGCTAGCACTGGCGAGAAGCATGCCTAGCTTGCTAGGCGCTTGCGTGTGGCAGCATAGCACAACGCTACGCACCAGCCAGCAAGCACACTGGGCTATGCGTGCGTGCATGTGCCTAGGTCTAGAGCTAGGTGCCCAGCAACGCATAGCACTACGCACCAGCAAGCAGCACGCTGGGCTATGCGTATGTGCGTGTGCCTTCGCATGGCAGCACGCCTAGCAGCAGCGAGCTAGGGCCTCGCCCTGCAGCAGCAGCATGCGTGGCTTGCTAGCAGCACGCATGCGCTGGGGCTTGCAGTGCTGGCTGGCTGGCAAGACAGGCTGCCCAGCCTTAGTGCCAAGCGCTAGTTGGCAACCAAGGCAAGCTGCCAGCCTGCCAAGTCCTTGAGGCCGGTTGTGAGATGTGGGGACCAAGGCTTGGAGCCAACCCTTGGGGAGCAAGGCAATGGTCCCCCCCTTGATGATGGTCCTCACCTAACCACTAATCCTCCATGTGCCACTTGTTGATTGTTGATTGCATTATCTCTTAATTTATTTTTGATTTAAATAAATTAGTTGGAAATGTAAACTATCCCACATTGATCATGAATGGGAGTGCAAGTTACATTTCTCTATAAATACCCCATGATTGGGCAAATCAACTTGAGTGGAACTTAAAAAGGCATCTCTAATTATTGAGAAAACCTTTAAGTTCGTAAAACTCTAATTTTATCTTTGGTCAAGTCTCGACTAACCCTCGAGATGAAGACCATTCGGACGGGTCGTGGGTACGAGCCGTTGGAGGCCGTCACGCTTGTGAGGCTTTAAGCTTAGAAGTAAGAGCTCGATTTACGAGCGAAGCACGCTTCAAGGGTATAACTTCTTTCTCCCTTCTCTTAATTATTGTTTAATTATGTTTATGCATGCTTTATTGCTTTAATTATTGGGGCGGGTCTTGGGGGGTTTCTATTCCGCGTAGAGACGGTCTCTAGGAAACCCAACAGTGGTATCGGAGCCGCGCTCCTTTTTAATTATTGTAATTAGTAGTTAATTAAGGTGATTTAAAATGGATTTAAATTCTGGTTTTTGCTTTCTAATTAGATTAGAAGCACGTTTTAAAATAGTTTTAATCTCGTATTTTTCTAATTTTGGCCTAAGAACTCGGATTTCGACTTAAAAATAGTGTATTTTGGGTGGAATCATCGTTCTAAATCGTTTTCAATTCTCTTTGAGGGCTGTCCAGAAGCCAAAATCCAACCAGAAACTTGTTTTCGAAGGGTTTTTTCGTTTTCAACGAAATTTTTTGAATATTTATGCCTTAATTTATTTAAGCATGTCAAGGGTAGATTAAATGCATTGTTGTATTCCTAATCTACAGCAATTTTAAACCCTTTTAAGCATGGTTATGAAGTCATAATGTGTGCTTAAGTTGGTATGTTCAATTTCTCACATAAACTTGTCATTTCACAATCATGCAAATCAATCGCATTAAAGTGTGAATGTTTATTGTGAATGTGAAATTTTAAAGTTCCTAGTATATTAAAGATCCAATCTTTAAGTGTTTAAATGGTTGGAACTTTGATTCTAAATTCCATGTTGAACTAATGAAGGATTTAGTCATTTTTAGCTGATTAAAATC